ATCAGTTCTAGCAGACTTTTGGTGGAGTCTATCGGATTTTCCATGTATAATATCATGTCATCTGCAAAGAGCGAAAGCTTGACTTCATCTTTGCCAATTTTGACGCCTTTGATTTCCTTTTGTTGTCTGATTGCTGATGCTAGAACTTCCAGCACTATGTTAAACAACAGCGGTGAGAGTGGGCATCCCTGTCGTGTTCCTGATCTCAGGGAAAAAGCTCTCAGTTTTTCCCCGTTGAGGATGATGTTAGCTGTGGGCTTTTCATAAATGGCTTTTATGATCTTTAAGTATGTTCCTTCTATCCCGACTTTCTCAAGAGTTTTTATTAAGAAAGGGTGCTGGATTTTGTCAAAGGCCTTTTCTGCATCGATTGACAGGATCATATGGTTCTTCTCTTTTTTTTTGTTAATGTGATGTATCACGTTGATTGATTTGCGAATGTTGTACTAATTACTTTCAAAGTAATGAAGACAGCCCTCATGATCTAAGTCTTGATGAAACACAGTTCTATTTTATCTATATTTACTAAGCACATTATTATAAATTTGATTTATTACATATTTTTTGCCCTCTGTGCCCTTTGATGAGTAGAGTATCCAAGACAAGGTGATGAGAAACAGTTGCATGAAAAATCATTTCATGTCCAGTTGATATGTTTGCACATCTCAACTACTGAATTTCTTTTAGTCAATCATCCTTTCTCTGCTTTCACTCTCAAAGAGCTTTTAGTTTGTGATAATCATGGGATTATGTGAACCCAGGGATTTTTTGCTTGCTCACCACAAAAAAGAGTAAGGGCAAGTCTTGTCTCAAGGAGATCTATACAGGCTAAAACCGAAGACGAAAAAGAATATCAAAGGAACTTCTCCAAGTCCCTTACAAGACACTAAAGCTTCTCCTTCAGTCAACAGTGCCCACGGGGCATCCCTTAAACGCTTCTTGCCAGAGTATGTTCTCTCCCTCCCCATACCTTGCCTTTAATTGCCTTCCCCTTCTCCTCTCTGCTTATACAAATCTGCCCCTTCAAAGCCAGATCCACTGGGCAGCATTCTTGGACCATTCCATCTGGAAGAAATAATTCCCTCTGAATTTATATTAATGCCCAGCCGTCAGTCCCAGTGAGAAATGTAGTGTGCAGAAAAAAAAAAAAAAAAATCCCGGACCAGTTACTCAAATGTTTTATCACTTACTAGATATGTACCCTTAAATAAATTTACTGACCTCTTATAACACCCTGTATCCTCATCCTTAAAAGAGAGTAAGGTCTATGCTATATCCCCAAAATGTTGGCAAGATAAAACAATGCTGTTTGTGAAATGTTTGGTATATGGTAATTGATTATACTTAGGCAAGTATAGGTTTTATTTCCACCAAATTCAGCTACGATGATTTACATTCTGGTAATCCTAATATGCTTTCATGTATGTTTTTCTTAATGTCTCAACCCAATTAAAAGTATAATTACTTTTTCTGATGATAAAAAGATAGTATTTATCATAGAAAATGTTAAAAGTATACACAAATATAAAAATGAAATCTAGTATAATGTCATAACCAGAAAACAACCAGTAAACTAAGAAACAAGCACTATTGACATCTTTTCTTGCGCCATATATATATATCATATATATATGTACATATATGTGTGTGTGTGTGTGTGTGTGCCTTTGTACACAACTTTGCTCACTCATCAGTGTGTCCTATGACTATTCTTGTTCTCCATCTGTATTTTTACATCTGTACAACCATGATTTCTGTCACATCTGACTAAGCCCATAGCACTATGCCTTGGGTATAAAATATTACATAAAGAGGCTTTATTCACAGAATGAGTTAAAGGACTTAATGATTATTTAAATATAAAATTATTAATTTTTAAGAAATTTTATTTTTAAGTGATCTCTGCCCCCAAGGTGGGGCTCAAACTCACAACCCCACAATCAAGAATCATTTGCTCTACCAACTGAGCCAGCCAGGCACCCAACATAAAATTATTTAAAGCAGAACTTCTGGCTTTAAAGATAAATCTGTGGTCTTACTGATGAACTGAATCCACCATATGTGACACTGACTCTTGCTTTTCCTTTCCTTTCTGTGTAGTTTGTTGCTCAGCCCAACTGTCAACAACTGCTTGCATCTCGCTGGTATGATGAGTTCCCGGGCTGGAGGAGACGACACTGGGCAGTGAAGATGGTGACGTGTTTCATAATAGGACTCCTTTTTCCCGTCTTCTCTGTGTGCTATCTTATAGCTCCTAAAAGCCCACTGGGACTGTTCATCAGAAAGCCCTTTATCAAGTTCATCTGCCATACAGCGTCCTATTTGACTTTTTTGTTCCTGCTGCTGCTTGCCTCTCAGCACATCGACAGGTCAGACTTGAACAGGCAAGGTCCACCACCAACCATCGTCGAGTGGATGATATTACCGTGGGTCCTGGGTAAATGTGTTACTATAGAAAATATAATAAAAACGTGTTGCTGCCATGGAATTTTGTTGCCCAGAAAAGAATATTTGTTAAAGTTTGGGACACAGGAATGTTGAAAACAGGTTTGACCATTTTAGCTCCAAGGCCTGATCCCCAAACTAAATAAACGCTTTTGCAAGTTTTGGGGAACTTGCCCCCAAGTGCAGCCTATGAAATGTAACTGTAGGTTTTAAGATTTCAGATTTTAATGACATCATGCCCCATGAATGATTTTCTGGGTTTTTGTTTGTAAGCTTGTCTTATAAAGACTTTCGACATATCTCATTGGCCATATGTAACTGATCATTGTAGTTTTCTTAATGGATACACCTTCCAAAAGACAAATTACAAATCACTCTGCAGAATTAGTAATTCTGTACATAAAGTAACTATAACCATTCTTTAAAACCAATCCATTTAACTTTATCTTTGAAATTATATATTCAACCAAAATAATAGAAAATTAAACTCTAGGACATCCCCCAATCTCTCTCTGTTCTTTCCATAGAAAGAAAAATGTTTTGGGATCTGTAGAAATCAAGGTAGAAAAGCTTAAAGTAGCTGGTAAAAACTTGGTTTTACTCTCTTATCGTAGCCATAGTTAAAATTCACATTTTAATTACTCTTTCCTCTAACCTACTGTGGTTTGCTAAAAATCATATTTTCTCAATTTAGCTCATCATTTTAAACCTCTCTGGTATCATATCCATCTCATCATTTAGTAATTAGAAAATATGTGAAAATTTCATGATTCACAGTCTCAGAAGATCAGTTTGGCTTAACTGTCAAAATTACTGGAGAAATTGTAAAATGTGGAAAGGCAGGAAAGAAAACAGGACTATATCTGAATCTGAGATAGAGGTACTCTTTGATTTTAAACATTATAACTACTCTAAGTACTGACAATAAGAAAAGTTCATAGGAACAAGATTTGATATGTTTTACAAATGTTGGAAAAAACACCTTCTTAGGTGAACTTTAAAACAGAGTACATTCTCATTAATATGGCATGCATAAAGTGTGATCTTGCTTAAATTAGGAGAAAGGTTAATAAAATAATTATGACATTGTAGTTGATATTCAATATAAAATTACCCTGCCCATTCCCTTTTAAATTAAATATCTTACATTAGGAATATGTTCTTTATAGACATTTCTTCATAGAAAATTTCTTGTAAACAATTCTTAAAGAAGCATTTTGGAGGTTAAATTTCCCATTATGGGGAACTTACATAGAATGTCTAAAAATTGATATTCCAAATGAAATATAGAATATTTAGTTTTGAAAAATGCCATAGCTACAATGCAGTATAAGCAGAGATAGTATTTCTAGACTTTCCTTTATGCACTTAATGAAAATATATAGACTACGTTCTGTATAGTAAGTGCAGTGCAGGGCAATAGTGATACAAAAGTAAAAAAACAAAAATAAAACAAAAAAAAAAAAAAAAAAAAAAAAAAAAAAAAAAAAAAAAAAAAAAAAGAGAAGGAATTCCTTGCCCCTATGAAGCTTAAATTATACTAGAGGAAATAGATAATAAACAATGAGATATGTTACATGTCAGAAAACAGTAAATAATATTAAAAAATACAAGCTTCAAGCCTTTAGTAACTTGTGCAATTAAAAGAGTCATTGGCTGCCTCCTTCTTGCAAAACTTGTAATAGAATTTTCCGTGAAAGCTGGCTAGAAATCATATCCAATCCTCAGCTGAATGGTTAAATAAGGTACAAATTTAATTGTGATAACTAAAATTCCAGCCTGGGGAAATTTCTACAGGCAACATTTTCTTAAGCTATCCTGACTTAGGCAATTAATTTACTTGGGAATTTTTAGGAGGCAAAGAGATTTTCTAGAATAAAAATATATATATGAACGATCCTCCTGCTTAAATACCTGGGCATGGAGAAAGAATTTTCTATATCAGATAGGCCTGTCAAGGCTAGTGAATTCTGAGTGTCTCATATCTCAGACTGAGTTCTAAGAGTTTTGATACATCCATGATTAAAGGCTATATTCACTATGTTATTGGGCTCTTGTAGAAAAAGCACTGTATTTGAATACATGACCAGGTTCTGTCACTAAGAAACTATTAAATTATGAGTGGTCACAAGCTCTCAGGATTTCCAGTATCTTCATAAAAAAAAAAAAAAAAAATGAAAGATTCAAAGTCCCATTGAGTCCTATTGTCCTGTGCTGGGGAGCTGTCATTATTAGGGCAGAAAAAGATGTTTTGTTTTGTATTGTTTTTTTAAGCCAGGGTAGGTGGGGAAGAGACTAAAGACAACAGGGTAGGAATGCTATAACCTTTGACCAAAGGTGGGATATAGACAAAAAGGCCTGGTCTGATTTGATAACTGTATTAATGAGACTTCTATCTTGTCTTCCTTATTAATACTGCTGTCTGGTAAAAAGTCAGTGGCTAAACATTTCACAGTCCCTCCGCTGTGAGGTTCTAGGTTTATAATAACAAGACTGAATGACTTACAGAGAAGAGTATGGCTTACAAATATGTTTCTCATCACGTTAGTTTTCCCAGTGATAGATTGAGGGTCTATGCATGGGTTTTTCTCAAGTCTTCTTGAACCAAGTTAGATTTTCAACCCACGTCACTCTGTGGGCTACTTTTTGTGTAAAGAAAGGCTTTTTCCTTCCTCCTCGCTTTACTTTCCTTCCGTTTTCAGGGGCTGTTCCCCAGACCTATGATATAATTTATAAGAAATGATAACTTTTATACCTCCCTTTGTATAATCCTGACAAAAAGACTTTTGATTTGTTTTATATATTCATACCATAAATTTTAACTTTTCCTGAGTAGAAAAGTTTTCTAACTGCAGAGTGTAATCTCTCAAACTGATCCCTTTATCTCCTTAAGAAGTATGTTTTTGCTTTGGAATTTCTGTTCTTTCATATACTTTGCTGTGTTTCTACAATACAAACTTATTTGGTCTGACAGATCCAGATATCTTGCGATTTTGTACAGGGGTAGAATAATTTTTCCCTGTTATTTCAATATCTTTCCTCTGGAAGTTCAACATCACGTTGACTATTTAAATTGAAGTCTACTGAGTTTTATATCTTGAGAAAACAGTCTGCAATAACCCTGGTATTCTTCCACTGCGGAATCATTGATAAGCTGTACCTTTGAATGATTTTTCCTTCAGACTTTCTTGTATGGAAGGTTACTGACCCTTCTTTCTCCCATCAAACAACACTCTTATGGATGTCTGCTGTCAGGATAAGCTTTAGCATATAAGCAAAGAAATCTAAAGGCCTCATGCAGCGATCAAACTTAGGATGTGGTCATCTGGAGATACAGTCCTAACCAAAAGAGAAAACTAATCACAGATAATACAGTTAGAACTATCTCAATAGATAGGCAGATTCTAGACACATAGACACCAATGCACTCAGAGTGTCACATTACCCATTTAAACTAGAGTAAAAAGTGAAAAATGATAGTTCTAGCATATGGGCCTGATGACAGACCTATACCTTTCAAGTGTCTGAGAGAAAGTGTTATTGGAAAGACTGAATGATGGATTCAAAGGAGCCATGGGCCAGATTAGAGATCTGGTCACTTCTACATTCTGATGGGCCATGACCTTGACACTCTTAATTTATTCAAAGTTTTGATTTTTAACATAGAATACCAGGGATGTGAGAATGAATATTCATATCAGAAGTTCCCTTTTACATAAAATTTACATGCAAACTAAATATAGCATGTTATCTTTATATATAATGAGAATTTATTTAAATTATAGCAGCAGTTTTTTTCTCAAATGGATGTCATTTTCTTTCTGAAGGTAATAGGAAGTAAAATGGGGAAAAAACCAACTTTTGAATGCTAATTTTTAAGGCCTTCCCAAAAACCGGTTTTGATTGTCCTATTGAATCCATCATAATTCAACTGTAACAATCAAATTTGTATCGTAGCTTATTCCCTGCAAAAAAAAAAGTGTACAGATATAAATATATATGTGAAATATCGAGATGTAGACTTACGTTATCAGCTTAGCAAAAAGAAATTATGATATGGGTAACATTTTTCATAAAAGTAGGTGTTAATGGAGGCTATCACATTAATGAAGCAGGAAATACTTTGTTCACCATGAGAAAGGAAAAATGGATACTGAAGTGACTTGATATTATGTGTGTGCCTAAGAATATGCCATAATTATGTAGTATATAAATCTATGCACGCTGAGCATGATAAGGAGAAGGGTGAACTGAGGAAAAGATGTATCATAGGAAGAAATCTGAGCTCTGTTAAAAATAGCTTCTAGTGGATTCCTAGGCATATACTAAGAATTGCTCATAATATCCGGATTATACATCTTGCCTATAACACATACTTATTTGACAATTTTTCTCTAACAAAATTGGCCTCTCATTTCCATGATTTATTTCACATTTTTATCTTTTAAAGCGTTGATATTAACAAATCTGAACATTTCAATAAGTGCTTCCAAATTGCAAATGTAAAAAGAAAACTTGTGATCACATTCTCCTCTAGATAAAGACTCAGAGAGACAATTCTATATAAGTATATTCCTTTCTTGGGACCATTTCTACATCTTTGTCTAACAGGCATCAAGATTGTATGGTTTCAGGTATTCATACTCTCAGCCTCACCCATGAATTACCCATCTTCTCAAACAGCCCCCCAAAGATATTCTATAGTCTATAGTCTCCTGACTCTCTCCCTTGGCAAGGTGCTCCAACCACCTCAGCAAACTGGCTGCAGACACACATAGACACCCAAAGACAGGTGCAAAACATCCACCTATTCATTTAAAGAGACATTTTAATTTTCAAGAAAGCCAAATAATCATTGGACTATGACATGTAATCATCATTTTCCTTTTTATGTGTGGGGGAAAAAGTTGAAGATCACCTTTACCAAGACTTATCAAGATTATCAGATTTCAAACAATGAAATATTTGTGTAATTTAAAATTGTTGTGCACA